ATCAGCTGCCTTCTGCAGGGGAGGGGGAAAGGGAAGTGGTGAGCCTGCAACCCAGGCATGTGCCCTGACCGGGAATCGAACCATGACCTCTTAGTTCATAGGTCTACATTCAACCACAAGCCATGCCAGCCAGGCAAAGACAAGAGAATCTTTTTTTTTTTTTTAAATCCTCACCCGAGGATATTTTTCCATTGATTTTTAGAGAGAATGGAAGAAAGAGAGACACATCAATATGAGAGAAACACATCAATTTGTTACCTCCTGCACACACCCTGACCAGGGCCTGGGCCAGGGAGGAGCCTGCAACCCAACCGAGGTATGTGCCCTTGACAGGAATCAAAGTCAGGACCCTTCAGTCCACAGGCCAATGCTCTATCATCCACTGAGTCAAACCGGCTAGGGCCATTTTAAAAAATATATTTTTATTAATTTCAGAGAGGAAGGGAGAGGGGGAGAAAGAGATAGAAACATCAATGATGAGAGAGAATCATTGATCAGCTGCCTCCTGGATGCCCCCCTCTGGAAATCGAGCCCACAACCTGGGCATGTGCTGTGACCTCCTGGTTCATAGGTTTAGGCTCAACTGCTGAGCCAAGCCAGTCAGACCCAATGACTATCTCTTAATTGCCTGGCTAGTCAGATGTGTTTATCCATTTGGAAAGGGAAGCATGTATTGAATACTGAATACCTACTTTGGGTTCATTTATTTAATAAAAATATATTAAGCATCTACTAAATGAGGCACTGGAGCTATAAAGATGAATAAAATGGACATGGTGCCTACCCTCACAATGCTGAAAACCTAGTAGAAGAAAGTGGGTAATAAGCAATTAAAATATGATGTGGAAGTGCCATGTCAGAAATAAAGATCCTTTGAGAGCACATAGGACAGGCACTGAACCAGACTTGAGAAGCTCTCTAGATGAAAGAAATGCCAGGGACCTGACCAAACAGGGACGTAGCCAGGATGGGGAGACAGTGGGAAGAGGAGTCCCAGCAGAGGAAACAGCTGGTTTTGTGGAGAGGCTCAGCACAATAGAGAGTAGCACAGGTTTGAGGAACTGAAATTAAATGTAGTTGAGTGGAGAGTAAAAGGAGGGGATAGCAAGAGAAGGGGCCAAGACATGGGCAGGGGACACAGACAGGAGTTCTGTTGGAAACACCAGAAGCTTTTAATGGAATAGTCATAGGGAATTGGGGAATGATCTGCACTTCTGAAAGATCACTCTGCTGTACCGTGGAGAATGGGTGTGCAAGACTGGAGGCAGAGAATAAATGTAGCTTGAGATCACTATAAGATAGCCATGATGCTGTAATGTTGGTCGTTGAATGTGTTAGTCTGAAAGCACAAAATGAGATCCACCTTGCAAATAATGGATTTGGGATCATCAGCCTAAGGTACTACAAGTGAGTGTGATCTCCTAGGAAACTGAAACTTTTAATTGATTTTTTGAATAGTTAATGCTGACACATGGTACAAATGCAAAAGGTACAAAAGGTGTACAGTAAAAAATGTGTTACTCTCTCTTCTGTCCCCCAGCTACTCTCCCTGGAGGCAACCAGTATTGACAGAATCAATCCCTGCCCTTCCCTTTCCTCCCACACCCCTTCACTATTGGCTGAGGTAAATCAAGCCAAGTTCTCTTCATACAATAACAATACTGACCTTCCTAATATAGATCTTGAAATATACACACTAAAAGATCATATATATATATATATACACACACACACACACACACACACACACACACACCAGAGGCCCGGTGCACGAAATTCGTGCGGGGGGGCGGGGGGAGTCCCCTCAGTCCAGCCCCTGGCCTCCCTGCCCTGCTGGCCTGATCATCCCTAACTGCCTCTGCCTGCCAGCCTGGTTGCCCCCAACTAACACCTCTGCTGGCCCGTTTGCCCCACGCAGCCTGTTCGGTCATCCGTTCAGTTGTGATGGTCACTTAGGCGTTTATATAGATAGATAAATATATATGTAGTATTGTCTATAATGACTGCTTGCTAAAAAGTCTCCATTCCTGAAAACATTTGACCTTGCAAATTAAAGATATCTTGGTCACTTTAGGTTTAAAACAGTCTCCCTTGAGAAATCATTCTGTCTTTCGGGGTTTTTCCATTATCCCAGAACTCTCCTCTCCCTCTTCCCTTTCCCAAAATGGGCCCAGGTGGAGGGGAAACTACAGGGGACTTACAAGGAAAGTCAGTCCACCTCCTAGCCTTCCCAGCCTTCCTGGCCTTTGGGCTACATTGATTGATTCCAGCTCCTGACAGCCACAGTCCCTGCCCCCATGCTCAGTGGTCAAGCACTTGCACTTTCTTGATGCAAGGCCAGGCCTCTTCCAGCCGTT